TGCTTGTCGGCAGGAGTTCGTCTGAGTTTTTACTCTGCTGCTTCATGTCAGTTGGATGGATTTTACAATCAGAGCTTGTGTTTACATTATATTGTTTACAATTGGATCAGGAATTTCCTACAGACAGGAGAAAGATTTCAGCCAACAGCGCTATTGATCACACTGGATACGTTTCTGCGGTTGCATACTGTTCAGCATACTTCCTGAATGAGTGACTTTCTAAGGATAAATTAGCAAAATAACAAATACATAGAAGGCCAACTTGGATCTTTTTTCTTCTTTTACAATGCATTGCATTACCAACTTGTATCGGAACAGGACTCAGTATTGGACGATAATCAGCAGATTACAACATCAAAGTAATCGTACATCGAGCGACAGCACCACGTATGAAGCCCTGAAGAGGGACTTAGAGTGGATACAAGAATAAAATCACGGACCAGAAACTGCTGAAACATTATCTCATTTCATGTATTCCCACAGACGAAGCAATGCAAGTGGTTAGAAAACAGCTGGAACAAGATGATTCTATTTCAAGCATGACCGTTTTTACCGGCAAAACCAGTATCACCTATCATCGCCACCATTTGCATGGAGGAACTGGAAACCAGAGCATTGAACTACAATGGAACAACACTAAGCCACTGGTTCAGGTTTGTGGACAACACATGGGTCAAACTTCTCACAAAGGAAGTAGAAGACTTTACCAAGCACAGTAATGCCCTGGACAAGAGCATCAAGTTCACCAGGGAAGATGCCCACAACAACCAACTGCCCTTCGTGGACTGTGCTGTGCAAACTGGACAAGATGGAAGTCTCAGCATTGAAGTCTCAGCATTGAAGTCTCAGCATGGAAGTCTCAGCATTGAAGTCTCAGCATTGAAGTCTCAGCATGGAAGTCTCAGCATTGAAGTCTCAGCATGGAAGTCTCAGCATGGAAGTCTCAGCATTGAAGTCTCAGCATTGAAGTCTCAGCATGGAAGTCTCAGCATTGAAGTCTCAGCATTGAAGTCTCAGCATGGAAGTCTCAGCATTGAAGTCTCAGCATGGAAGTCTCAGCATTGAAGTCTCAGCATTGAAGTCTCAGCATTGAAGTCTCAGCATGGAAGTCTCAGCATTGAAGTCTCAGCATGGAAGTCTCAGCATTGAAGTCTCAGCATGGAAGTCTCAGCATTGAAGTCTCAGCATTGAAGTCTCAGCATGGAAGTCTCAGCATTGAAGTCTCAGCATGGAAGTCTCAGCATTGAAGTCTCAGCATTGAAGTCTCAGCATTGAAGTCTCAGCATGGAAGTCTCAGCATTGAAGTCTCAGCATGGAAGTCTCAGCATTGAAGTCTCAGCATGGAAGTCTCAGCATTGAAGTCTCAGCATTGAAGTCTCAGCATGGAAGTCTCAGCATTGAAGTCTCAGCATTGAAGTCTCAGCATGGAAGTCTCAGCATTGAAGTCTCAGCATGGAAGTCTCAGCATTGAAGTCTCAGCATTGAAGTCTCAGCATTGAAGTCTCAGCATGGAAGTCTCAGCATTGAAGTCTCAGCATTGAAGTCTCAGCATGGAAGTCTCAGCATTGAAGTCTCAGCATTGAAGTCTCAGCATTGAAGTCTCAGCATGGAAGTCTCAGCATTGAAGTCTCAGCATGGAAGTCTCAGCATTGAAGTCTCAGCATGGAAGTCTCAGCATTGAAGTCTCAGCATTGAAGTCTCAGCATTGAAGTCTACAGCGTAAATAAAACAATTTTGTCTCTCTGCGTCCTAATGCAGTGAATGTGCATGTGTGTGTTTTGCAATTCAAGCACTGGTTTAAACAACCTGACGAGTGTGTCCAGAACATTTTAATTAAATAATTTCACTTAGTAGGAACTGCTAAGTGCTTTACTTGCTCTGTGTAAACCTGAACAGGTGTACAGGTCACCTGCTTGGGCGTAATCAGATACAGCCACTGGGATCTATCAGGCAGATGCCAAAATCTAAAACCCCCAGACCCGGTTGCCACGAACACTCAGGCAGACCAAGGCACAACCCCTCACACCAGGTGTGGCAGGGGGAGGGGGGACGAAGATCTATATCATCAAAAGAAGTTCCAGGAGAGGGGAGGAGTCAAAGGCCCCACCTGACATTTATAGTCATACACAAACACAGTCACACACTCCCTCCCTCATGCTCACACATGCACATACAACCAAAGACTTACAAAAATGCACGCCGGACACCCACTCATGCTCCCCATACACACCCTATTCACTCTGGTCCCGGTATTGCTGCACATTGGGTACAACCATCACCGATTACCAGAGTTTGACCCTTTCTGCTGGGGTGCTGATGAGCAGGCTCCCCCGCCCAACGCTGAGCACAGCAACCCACCACCCCAGACCCCAACCAGACGGCCAGATCTCCCTCCTAGCCTCCAGCCCCAGGAAGCCAAGCGACAACAGAGATGTGCTAAGACCCCTAGTCTCCCTCCGCCTGCTCTATTGGACGCTCCTATAGAGAAGCCTTACATAAACAAGCGCGTGTACACACACAGGTGCTCACATGCTCACATGCTCAAAAGTATGGGCTTGGGCACGTTAAACACAGGTCTTAAGGCTGTCGTTGCCACTTAATGCGCTATGATTTATTATTGTGTGATTCTTCAGTTAAACAATGTTGATTTTATATGTCATCATCAGGATGACGCAGTGATAGCTTGCTCCTGATGTATTGTTGTGTGTCTCATTTTTTCTGGTCTTTCTCTTTCTGCAGGTCTAGAAGCAGACTCTTGTTCATTATTGTTTATTTTGTGGAACCCCCCCCCCCCCCTCCCCCTTCCCACCTTTTGTCTTTTCCTTTCTCTTTCACCTCTGTCTCCGTGTCTGGTCGGAATTACAAAGCATTCAAAAACAACAACAACAAAGTTTTAAGTAGCAGGCGTGACATTAAAAGCAGACGCTTTGATGCTCCACCTGAGAGTAAATCTGTAAGGCTTGTCACCAGCATTCAGACATCAATTCTGCTTGCTTCGCAGCCAGACAGGACACGGTAAAAAAAAAAAAAAAAGGAATCTTGTGTCTGTTCTAGTCTTGTTAGATCTCAGTGCTGCCTTTGACACAGTTGATCACAATGTTCTTTTAGAAAGACTTGAACATGTTGTAGGGATCAAAGGGACAGTGCTAGGCTGGTTTAAGTCCTACCTGTCTGACAGATTTCATTTTGTAAATGTACATGACAAATCATCTTCATACTCCAGGGTTACTTGTGGAGTACCACAGGGTTCAGTGCTTGGACCAATTCTTTTTACTATATATACAGTACAGGCCAAACATTTGGACACACCTTCTCATTCAATGTGTTGTCTTTATGTTCATGACCATTTACATTGGGAGATTCTCACTGAAGGCCTCAAAACTATGAACGAACACATGTGGAGGTATGTACTTAACCAAAAAAGGTGATATGACTGAAAACATGTTTTATATTAATTTTTTTTTCTAAACCGGCGCTCTTTGCCCTGATTGCTGCTTTGGACACTCTTGGCAATCTCAAGAGCTTCAAGAGGTAGTCACCTGAAATGGTTTTCTAACAGTGTTGTAGGACTACCTCTTGGAGCAAAAAATGTGCTAAGCAGATCTAGACTGAAAAATTTGGTGATCAAGAACTTTTCTTGGTTGTTTAGGGTTAGCCATACCTGGTTTTGGTTATGGATTGGACCGTCTCATCTGTGGCCATGGTCAAATTGAGAGCTTTTAAAATGAAAGCTCCTTGGAAAGGTCAATTGAAGGTCAATCTGCTCATTTAGTAGCTTGCAAATCTGATATGCCATTATTAAGGGTCTGGCATTTTTGAGAAGCCATCCTGTTTTTGTGAGCTGTGTAGGCTAGTATCTCGTCCCGTAAGACAGTTTTACATGCCTCCCATGTTGTGGCTGCTGTTACATCTGGCGTGATATTAGTAGACATATAAAGATCCATATGTTCATTTATGTGTTTTACAAAATATACATCACAAAGTAGAAATGAGTCAAAATGCCATGGAGGGCTAGGAGAACTATATCTAAAATAGCAGGCGCATGGTAAGCGATTACTAAAGGGACATAATTACAAGAGAGAGAAAGGAAAGAAGTTTTTATCAACTAAAGAAATCTGTTCATGAGAACATAACATGTACTGGAGAGAAGAAAGAGAAAGACGTAGCGTCAGGGTTAACATAACGCCATATGTCTGAGACTCCATGCTGCTGCATGATGATTGGATCCTCTTTGCAGATTTAGAGAGGTTGTGATTTAGATTAAGTACAGTCCAACGATGGGTTAAGACAGAAATTAAAATCACCGCCAAAAATAAGCTGACTGCTTTTCAGAGCAGGAAGTGAAAGCAGTAGAAGTCATCCTTATCCCAGTTTGGTCCATGCACGTTGATTAAGGTTACCTTGGTACAACAGATAATTCCTTGAATAACAATTCCTCAAATCCTATTATTATAATTTTATTACTAATATTTTACCACCACTACTACTACTACTACTAAAACACGTTAACTCTGATTAGATTATACTCATGTTCATCTTCAGTTCCACACTCAGGGTAACTGGCGTTTCTGGTGTTTTTAAAACCTTCCAGTAGGCTGCAGCGGTGTGAGTGTTAGCCTTCTTTTATTGATAGTACTCGGCTTGCATGTAAGGAGCAATTATAGCAGCTGATGCTCCCTGTCTGCTCTGCAAAGCTGCTTCCTCTGGCTCTGATTCACCCTGCTGGTTGAGAGGGAGGTCAGCACTTAGTCTGTGGGGGCCTGCAACCATGCTAGCCCATCATTATCTCCACCATAGGGACCACTATTTTCTCCTCTTCCACCGCCTCATGTTTCTTTTGCACAAATCAAATGATTACAGGACTGAAGATGGTAAACACAGCTGCTTTTGAGGTGAGGCTAAACTCTGTGTGTTCAAATCTAACTTCAACCTGGAGACATGAACATCTGGATGCTGGTGGAGCTTCAGAACTCTGAGCACACGGAGAGGGAGCTTCTTACCCAGGTTGGATTTAGAAGTGTGCACAGGGGTGTAGTGGTTCTTAGATGAGGTTCTGACTGGTGTGTTGTCTTTGGATGAGCCGTTCATCGCTGCAAAATTTTCACAGTCATACTGTGAAATTGGGATGGGCCCCTGCTGCCTCAGAATGTCTGCTAGCGCCCTGTAGAAAGAAAGACAAGAGCACCCATTAGTACACACCAGAAGATATTCCTCCTCCTTCCTGTTGGATCCTAACGGGCTCCTCGAAATCAACTTGATCTTTTTTTCTTTCACCTCAGTGAGCATGATGAAGGTTCATTTTAGAGAAGCAAACCCCGAGCCTCGCGCCTAATTGGGCTGGATTTGGATGTTTTTCAGACTGCACCAGGTGCATGTGGAAGGCCCTCAGGGGGTGGCAGTCATGATGAAAGGAAGTTTAAACGTGTGGATTTGCTTATTCTGGCGTGAATATCTCATTCCAGCTTTGGTAGGACAAATGTGAGTGCTGTAGTAACCCCGGAGTTGGATGAATATTTCACAATCAGCTGCCCCTGACGCCATCTTCCCCGTGTTCCTTATTCAATGTGGTGCCTGCACGTTAACAATATTCATTATTCACAGTCTGAAGCTGAAGGGAAGTGTTGAATAATTCATCCAATAAAAGCAACATTGTTCCATGCTGAGTAAAAGAACGTGTGTCAGCGTTTGGATGAGTGACCCCATCCACATCTCCACCTGGACATGCAGCTGTGTGCAGAAACATCTGGATCCTGACTGTCTGCATGTTAGATCCAGAACCAGACCATTTTAAGTCAAACACGTGAAATCACAATCCTCTCCCTATTTCTCACACACACACACACACACACACAGAGAGAGAGAGAGAGAGAGAGAGAGAGAGAGAGAGAGAGAGAGAGAGAGAGAGAGAGAGAGAGAGAGAGAGAGAGAGAGAGAGAGAGAGAGAGAGAGAGAGAGAGAGAGAGAGAGAGAGAGAGAGAGAGAGATTGATTCAGCTCCTCTAATTATTCCAGGTTGTGGTTTCTGGGTTTTAACATCTGCTGCATCGTTACTAGGATCTTCTGCTTGAGGACATCGCTGCTGCTGCTGCTGCTGCTGCTGCTGCTGCTGATGATGATGATTAAAGATCTCACTCTTCTCATCCTTGATCCTTCACTACATTTGATCTCTATCAGAAGCAACAGCATGAGTAGAAATGGCCGTTTTCATCGCACTCACCTGTGTATATTCATCTCCTGGGGCGGCTCCGTGGCTTTATCATAAGCCACTTTGACCAACACCCCAAGCACTATGATGAAGGCTATGACCCCACAGGTGATGTAAACGGCCGTGCTGGTCTGGTCCATGCTGGGATCGTAGCTTCCCCCGGTGGGAACGGGCGACGGGGTGACTGTCTGCACCCACTTGGGCTTCTCGTAGTTCCTGCAGGCGTTCTGCTCCAGACGGTCCTTCTTGTACTCGCAGCAGAAGCGCAGATAGCACGTCCCACAGCAGTAGCGGTGGTCCGTGTTGTTGCATTCGAACATTTTGTCGTACTGGCCGCTCACGTCGTAGTAACCCTGGCAGGTGTCGTGGTGGCTGGCAGCCGCCGGCTGCGGGGACTTCTTCGGGAGCCCCGTGGGGCTGGCCGTGGCTCTGGGAGCCTTTCTGGGTTGTTTGGGTTTTTTGGCTGCCGCAGCGGCGCTCAGGTCCAGGTACAAGAGCAGCAGCACGAACAGCTTCATCCCCATCATGGCTCGCGACTGCGGCTGTTTAACTCTGGCTGAAACGGAGACTTAAACCCTTTCGCTGGACACGCGCAGCGGCATCTTCTGCGTTTATCACGCACGGACCGTAAGGCCGTCACGGTGGTCAGAGAGCCTCATGTCCGGACCGGACCGGGAGCTGAGCGATGCCAAGGATCCGCGCGCCTTCCTCCAGCTGCGGTGTGTCGCTCTCCAAGGTGCTGATTTCTGGAGCCTCGCTTCGTCTGTGGTGGAAGTTTGCCTGGTGGAGAAAAAATGAGCTTCTTGTGCACTGTTCATACGTCACAGACACGTCATCAATAAATAAACATGTCTCTACGTGCTTGAATAACTAGTCAGATGTGGTTGGTTTGCTCATGTTTCACAGACACCCACACAGCGGCTCCCAGAGAGCCGGTTCCCACGTCTGGACCATCAGTGGGAGGAAGGAAGCCGACCGGGACCTGGTCTGGGTCTCCGAGCACGCGCACACACGCGCACGCACACACACGCACACACATACTCCGTCTGCCCCCCCCCCCCCCCCGCCCCCCCGCAGGTCTTGTCTCTCCTTTCTGCCTCCCTCCTCTCTTACATCACATGAATGCTGGCATCAGGACTGTCTCTTTCCCGCCACCCTTATGTGTCACACTAATAGATGTGTTCCACAACTTGTGTTGATTGGACTTTGATTGTGGAATTATCATTCTGGACTGATGAGCATAAATCTGGATGTATACTCCTCCACAGTGTTTATTTTCCTCTGTCTGGTCACCAGTGGCACAGAGAACAAGGCTTAAATACAGACTCTGACTGATTAAACACACCCAGCCTTCCAAAGAGCTTGAGCAGGGCCAGATCATGTTTAAAACCTGAAAACACACCCTACCTCACCATGGCACTCGGCTGCAGCATTATTTTCACAGCACATTTGTACTCAACATGTTCTGCTGACAGTGGCACAGGTGTGGTAGCAGCAACAGCTAACGGAAGAGAGGTTTCCTCCTGGGCTGGGAATACAAGCAACATGATAATACAGCACATTATGAGTGGGGAGCTGGCAGGAGGTTGCAATGATGTAGCTCTAAGATCTCAAGTAAAACTCAAAGGATGCAGTGTGCAGAGACAGCTGGTGATCTCTGAGAAGACAGAGTCTGCAATAGGTAAGCAGCTTGTGTGGAAGTGGAAGACATACAAGACCACTGATAATCTCCCATGATCAGGGGCTCCATGCAAGAGCTCACCTCGTGGGGTCAGAGTGATTACAGGACCCCCAGAACTCCATGGGGACCTGAATGACCTGCAGAGAGCTGGGACCAAAGTTACAAAGGCTCCCATCAGTAACACACGCCACCAGTGACTCAGATCCTGCAGTACCAGATGTGTGTGTGTGTGTGTGTGTGTGTGTGTGTGTGTGTGTGTGTGTGTGTGTGTGTGTGTGTGTGTGTGTGTGTGTGTGTGTGTGTGTGTGTGTGTTACCATTAAAATAGTTTATATCTCCATAGTTTGTGAAGACCACAACAGGTGGATGAAACAAAAAAATAATTCAATCCTAAAACAAAATTTCAAATAACTAAAATGTAATTTTCCGAAATGTTTGAGTTTCCTAAACAAAAATTAAGAAATAAATAAATAATGAGGTTTTTTTGGATACATAAAAAATACCAGCAACAGTGTGTGAAAACCTTGTGAAGACTTACAGAACACGTCTGACCTGTCATTGCCAACAAATGGTTTATAGCAAATGTTGCACTGACCTTGCAGAAGTGTGACTGTCCCCCGACTTCTCATCTCTTCCTCCTCCTGCATGATGCCTCCTCCACACGCCGCCTAAGTGTGACCACATGCAGCCTGGTGCACTGTGCAAGATGAGCCAAAATAAGGAAATCAAAATGTGCAGCAGTCATTCAACTGGTGTGCAGCGGACAGAGAGGGCATTGAGCTTGAGGGGCTATCGGTAAGCTCCTTGGGCCTCGTTCAAACTTTTGTGGAAATATTCCTGAATGACATTTAGGAGGTTCGTACGAATGATCAGAAACCTGTGGTGCCCTCTTGAACGCACGTCTGTTGAGAAATCCCACATGTGCATGCCCAGGTGCTCAGTACACACAGGCATGCCCTCAATTAACCATTTTTGGTTGTTACGTCCCCGACAGGAGGTGTTAAAATGCGAAGGAGGGGGTAACACAAGAAATACGACAGTGGAGTTAAAATGGGTTTAATTGTAGTAAAAGGTTCTAAAAACAAGAGCAAACAGATGGCGAGCATTATTAAAATAATGCAAAACGAATAATTCACTATAAGGTTAACGGTTAAAAGACAACTTATCAACTATATAAAGCACCTGGTTAAAACTTTATTAGAAGTTTTGACTAAACTGAGCGTGTTTTAAAAACACAACGGATTTGATAAAAGTCTAAAAACTAAAGCTAAAGTTCACCTTAAAACAGAGTCAACTAAGTTGACATCAACCAAAGATCCCTACGGATGACTCAGTTTTTTCCTTTCAACTCCTCAACTCAGAGTTAAAACTTTAAAAGTTAAAGCTCATCACAAACGAAGGGGTTGAAAACAAAACAAGGCCTGGAGGACAGCGTCACCCCTGCACCGCTGCCTCCCAGACTGCTGAAGGCACAGCCTTTTTACCCCGGGTGTGGGTCATCAGCAGGATTCAGCTCCGATGTGCTCCTCAGCAGCCTGGAAGAGAGGAGGAGGAGGGGCGGTGTCGGGCTGATCACCCCAGGGCTGGGTGATCTTGGCTCCTGCACCTCACTGGCCAGGCTGGGGGCCGTAGCACTGGTGACAGCACATCCTCAGCTCATGAGGGGGTTTCCATTGTAAATGATGCGTGATTTAGATTTAGATGTTTTAGTGCTCCTACAAGTGGCAACAACGCAATGATCGCTCAAGTCACTGCAGAAAATGCCTAACGATGGGAGTTTATGAGGGACATTTATTAAAATTATGTCGGTCAAGGTGGACTTATGAATATTGGGTCTTGTGGGTTGGTTGACCAACTGGCTAATGTTTATGGAGTCACAGAAGCTTTTGAATTAATCTGAAACGGCATTTTGCCAGCCCCAGTTTGAATCACCAGCCAATATGAGTTCATTATAACTTAATTTGGATAAGGGGTGCTGTAATGATGATAATGCCTCCTTGGAAGCCGGCGGAGGTCTGTAGCACCCAGCAGCAGTTGTAGAAAGTCATTTAGCAATTTCCACCTTTAAAGCCAAAAACTCCATTTGTTTACAGATGGACTCAGACAAGACTTCTGATGCATTCAATCTTGATCTGATATAAATAGCCACACCCCACCTTTGTTTGGCTGTTCTGTGTAATAAACATGGTCTCCAGCTATGTTAATATCCTCATTAGTTATGGATTCAGTCAGCCAAGTTTCAGAAATGATCACAATGTCTACATCTGTTGATTTAATCCAGATTCTGACCACTTCTATCTTTGGTAAAAAGCTGCACATGTTCAGATGAACAGTTTTAAGTCCAGACAAATGTTGGAAATCAGCTGGAGTCTGTGTACATTGCAGTTAAGGTCCAGGGTTTGGTTGCACATTTCCAGATAGTAAAAGTAAGACAATCATCAGTCCGTGGTACACTTGACATTTTGGGGTAGTCATACTGTATGTTGAATCCATGCAGTGAGTTTTGCTTAATGACATAGTAAGATTGAGTAAAGCAAGAAAAGGTTTGAGGTTGGAGTCTTCTGCAGTCAGGTTTGACCACAAGTTAATGATCTGAGTAAAGTGAGTGGATCTAGTTTCAGTATCCCCAGCTACGTTAGAATTAGTGCAGCGATAAGTATACCTCATTCTGAGCATGTTAATATTCCCCAAGGGGACGCAACATTGTCCCAAGTCCAAAACAGCCAGAAAGAACAATGAGGCTATGGAAAACATTATATTCTTCATCTTACAAAGCACAAGGCCAGCACAATCATATTTTTGAGCAATAAATGCACAGAAATTAGGTTCCAGGAAGGTGTTGAAGGTTCTGTCAGATCCTGGGGGATGCAGCAGGGCCAAGCTAGGTTTAGGAGTATGACCTACTGAGTCATTTGTGTGATGCACAAGCAACATCATCTTCTGTGTCTGTCAGGTTCCTCGGTCCTCCCTCTGATTATTTAAACCCATACCTGAACATCACACTTCATCAGGATCATGCGAGCGAAGCCCAGCAAAAGCACAAACATTTACATTTCCATATTATGTGGGGGAGGCTAAATGGCAAGCAGTTTGCCCATTTCAATTCAATTCAATTCAAAAATCCTTTATTGATCCCAGAGGGAAATTGATTGCTGTAGTAGGTCAGAATAATAATAATAATAATCAAGTCATCAAAGAGTTGTTGTATATTACAACGGCTGTTGGCAGGAAGGATCTCCAGTAGCGGTCAGTGTTGCAGCCAAACTGAAGAAGCCTCTGACTGAAGACACTCTTCCGTTGTCGGACAGTCTTGAGAAGAGAATGCTCAGGGTTGTCCATCATTTTCTTGATTCTCTGGAGAATCCTTCTTTGCATCATCTCCTCCAGCGGTTCCACAGTCGTCCCCAGAACAGAACCAGCCTTTGTTATTAGGCTGTTGAGCCTTTTCAGGTCCCTGCTTCTGATGCTGCTACCCCAACAGACGATGGCTGAAGAGGTTACACTCTCAACAACAGACTTGTAGAAGATCTGCAGCATCTTGCTACAGACATTGAAGGACCTAAGCGTCGTCAAGAAGTGTCCCTTCTTGTAAACGGCTTCGCTGTTCTTTCTCCAGTCCAGTCTGTTGTCCAGGTGAACTCCAAGGTGTTTGTATTCCTCAACCACCTCCACTTCTTCTCCCATGATGGAAACAGTGTTTGACTCCACCCTGTTTCTTCTGAAGTCTAAAATCATCTCCTTTGTTTTGTTCACGTTCAAGGTCAGATGATTGTTTCCACACCATGCCAAGAAGAGCTCCACCAGCTCTCTGTACTCAGCTTCCTGTCCATCTCTGATACACCCGACAACTGCAGAGTCATCTGAGTATTTCTGTAGATGACAGGTCTCTGATTTGTACTGGAAGTCTGAGGTGTACAGGGTGAAAAGGAATGGTGAGAGTACAGTCCCCTGTGGTGCTCCAGTGTTACTGATGGCCTGGTTTGATGTGCAGTTCTTCAGCCTCACAAACTGTGGTCTGTTTGTCAGGTAGTCTTTAATCCAGGCGATAGTTGAGGCCCCCACCTGTGTCTTCTGGAGTTTCTGGCAAAGTACATCAGGCTGGATTGTGTTAAATGCACTGGAGAAATCAAAGAACATGACCCTGACAGTGCTTC